TGGTCTAGTCCGCCCCCCCCCCCCTTTGGCCTGAGCCACTGCAGGTGTGTGGCTGCATTTCCTGAATCAAAGGTAAATGTCTGTTCACTTCTGTTTCAATTTAATCTGTGTATCTTAGACTAACCTGCAAAGACTGAATTGATTCAGCCTCAGGCTTTTTGACCATCTGTACCTAGCCCTTGTGTGAGTGCATGCTGATTTAGTCTAAATACATTAACAGCTGGCATTTTTTTCCTGGGGAAAAAAGCCCCTTTCTGTTCACAGAATGGATGGGACTCAGCATTTAGTTTCCTCTTCAGTGTTGAATGTGTGCTGTGCTCTACGGCACGCATTCAAAGCCTTCTCTGAAGACAGTATTTTTAAGCAACCAGCAAGGTCCGAAAACAAAAGAATCTGTGTGGGATTTGTCCTTGGTGAGAAAAAAAACAAATTCCTTTTCCTTGTAAGTGAATATTTGTTTGTCACTTAGCTGATTGTTTGGAGTTTGCAAGATCTTTGGGGGCTGTATTTTGTAACCAAAACAGAAGCCTTCCAGCTGAGGATGTGAAGGAGGCTTCCTACCTTTAACTGGTGCTGATGGACTGCAACCTAGAAGAGGGAGTAAGGCTTACCCTTGTTTGCCTCTAGAGAAACAGGGTGTGACAAGATAGTGAAGATACAGGACACCGGTGTTATGAAGAAGGTTGTGATGTTTGGTCAATTGGGAAGCATTCACAGAAAGAGGACACTTTTCAAGAGATGTTTTTGAGACCCAAGCCTTCTGGCACTGCAAGCTTTAAATTAGGAATTAGGGTGAGATGGTTGGAAGAGACTCATGTATTTTTTTTGCCTGTTGTTAAGATGCAGGGAGAGGGAAATCATTCAGTGAATATATACAAAAGGGAACCATGAACAACAGAACATAGAATAGACAGCAGCAGAAGTCGTAGAATACAGAATAGATGTTGCTGTGGCTTTTGTTCCTTTGGAGGTCCCCTACTTGCAGATGAAAACCCTGAGTTGGGGGCAGCAGCCTGATAAATGGGAAGTGGGATTCCCAGAGTATACGTCCTCAGTTTACATCAGTGCAGCCAACATCACATTTTTTACTGACTGCTTGCCACTTTTAGGTTTAGTTTTCTAGCCAGTGAACTAAATAAATTTTTATAAATTCACACACAATATACAACAACATTCATATTTGTTAGCGATAAACAATTGTGCTACCTCACATATGTTCCAACCCATTATCCCTAAGGTTTTGGTACTTTCTCTCAAAAATCTTCAGCTTTCAACATACCAGCCAATTCACAGAATCACAGAGAAGTAGGGCTGGAAGAGACTTCCAGAGGTCATCTTGTCCAACCCCCCGCCTTAGGCAGGATCATCCCTATCCAAACCATCCCCTACAAACCATAACCTGGAGTCTACAGAAGCTTCTGTGAAATGCTGCCAGGATATGCGTAAGAGAGTCCGGGTAAAGGACCACGTCCCCCACCACAGAGGAAGGCAAAACCCCCCACCATCCATATCAGTCTGACCATGGGGTGAAATTCTTTTCTCACCCCAAATAGATCAGTTAGACCCTGAGTAGAGGCAAGACCCTATAGCCAGAAAGCTCCAGGTTTGGTCCCAGCAGGTGTATTGGCACACATTTCAGTCCTGAAAACTGGTGCTGGAAAATAGTAACGATTACTGAAGGCTTACAGCTACAGCATGTGTGGGGGCTTGAGATAAAAGGGAGCGAGGTTGTCTGCTCCTTTTACTCTGCAATAATCATTAAATACAATTAAAACTTGAGCAGCAGTTGTGGTACAGAAAGTTGGGAGCCCCATCAACAACAAATTTTCATTCTTGGAAAAGAATTAACTTTTTTTTTTTTACCAGTATAGTTTGGAACAAGAACTCAACCTGAATATTGCATACAATTTGTAATTAACTTTGTTTTAGGTCATTTGTTCAGTACTGGTCTCTGAAGGGCTTTCTCCTACTATACTTTACTAATGTTTTATTCAGGTTAGATGTAAATGCTCCAAGGTTAAGAATTATGGAAGAGGTTCAAGGAGAACAGTCAACATCCCAATCAACAAAGTATTAAATATTGTGATTTAGAAAGACCAACAGCACCCTACAGATACATTTCTGTTTTCCAGAGACTTCTAACAAATAAGGATTATACTACAGAGGATCATATTTATGTAGCAACAATTAATGTCATCTAAGTTGCTTTTAATAAATTCACTTCATCACAAGTAATCTCTCAATTTTTTTCACTTCAGATACAATAGTAAATTAAAGAGGTTTTAAATACCAGACCATCTAAATCTACATGCCTCACTTGTAACAGTCATGTGGAAATAAGAAATTCTGAGACTCAATCAAAACGATGTTTAGGATTGGTGGGAGGACAGTGTTTGGTGAATAAATATTCACCAGTTTAATTATTTCAGAGCTATTCCGCTCAAATTCACGTAATATTTGCTTACTGACTAGATTCACAAAATGGAGAAAGTGATACCACCACCTACTCTCCTTTTACTCAGTGTCTCAGTGGTTAGGATGGTAACCCTGAATGGGAATGCGGTTCAAGACCACCTCTTTTAGAGAGGATCTGAACTCACCCTAATCACAATGTCACAGGGTGGGGGTGCTCAACCCAAGGCCTGCAGGCCTGTTCTGGCCCCTGGCATGGTACCATCCTGCGGAGCTCCCCAAGAGCCATGGCCCCGCATGCTAAGTCAGGTGTGTAGGACCCAATCCCAGCATGCAGGGTGGGTGTGGGGCCTCAGAACCCAATCCCAGCATGGAGGGGACAGCCAAGGCTATGTATTCCCAGTTGGGGTGTGTAGGCCCAATCCTGGCACATGGGGTCCGATCAGACCATAGACTGGCCCTAAGCCACTCATCTGGCCCAGTGGGCAGAGATGCTGAGCACCGGTGCTATAGGGAACCCCGAGTGGGTGGTTCTCTACCTGCTGGGTTGATTTTCTTTCACTTGACATGAAGATGTCAGGTCTCCATTCAGAATGCATCAGCAATACTCACAAGGTTTAATCTTTAAATGGAGGTAATGTTGAAGTGACATGAAATGCACCAGAAACCCAGGGCCACTTCTGCCCCGGTATGTCTCTGGTGAATGCCTCATACTTCTAATACTCAACTTCTATACTTATAAAGACCTGACATTTGAAAATGAAGGGGTAAAGATTTGGGAACCAAGATTATTAAAAAATGCAGAAAACAAACAAGGACAAAGCTTTGACAAAAGTCATACCGTTCAGTCCACAAGCTCCTTCCTTTCTCAGTACGGCCTCCCGTCGTTGCCTTTCAGCATTTTGAGGGACATGTGCTCTGTAGATGATGTGTAGGTGAGGTGTTCCTTCTGTCACTGGATACTTTTGAACAGGCTCAATGAAGTAGTCCTCATGTGGCAGGTGGAAATATCCAGTCTGAAAATAATAATATAACCATTAATTTCTACTGTACTTTTGCTGCAGTGTAAGTCACTTACAAACAAGATATGTTAAGTTGCTTCATGTCACCACCTCAGGGTTTTTCTGGTAAGCCAGTCATATCTATTGCATCATGCATAGGAAACAATAGCTGCGTGTGTCTGTTCTGCCAGTTTTTGCTTAATAAATCCAATTTTTCTTACCTTTGTGACACAACAAGCAGAAAGGGAATGTAAAATCTTTTATAGGCACTTGATTAGGAACTCATCCCTTGAGGACAACAGAACAAGAAAACAGTGTTTTAACAGTTGCCAAGAGTCATAGTTCTGCTCTGCTTCAGGCTACAAGCGGAGAGAAATCTCCCAACAAGTACAGTATTACTTGAATAACCTCTTTTCTAATAGGCTGTGCTCCTCTTCACTGTGACAAAGGCTTAGCGGCTGTGCTGATGTCTGAAAAAGTTAGTCAGTCAAATATCAGCCAACAGACAGCTCTCTCTAACTAACATAGGTACATTCGTGTCAGCCATTTAAAAAGCCAGTATCTTTACACCTTCGACCACCACCTACCACTTCATCCCTCAGCTGGATGCAAGCCATAGTACAGGCACCTTACCTCTCACAGCTCCATCACAGATATAACTGGGATAATAAGCTTTTCTTGGTGCCAATTACCTCATGCTCAGCAGTTATTTAGTGCACCAGCAGCAGTGCATTAAGGTGTTCCTGCTGCTTCCTTTTCAGAAGCCAGCATGCATGCATCCAAATACTGACTGGCACTGTGAAACATTCAGGGAGAAGCTACTACATCCGCCCAGTCCCCCCATCACACTTGACAGGTACCCTTGTGACCTACCTGCAGTGCCACTGTGCTACATGTGCACTAGATACCAAACACTGCACTAGAAAACTCTTGCAATGGAAATTATCTTGTAATGGGGAAGAATACTATATTTACTAACATACAACATGCACCTTCTTTCCCACAACCAGCCCCCCAAAATTCAGTTACACGTTTTAATCAGGGAAATTGTTTTCTTTGCTGGAAAAGAAGCAAGACTAGGGGCACAGATGATCAGAATGACCAAAAACTTGGCAGCAAACCCGGAAGTGGACCAGAAACACTTCCAGTGCACTTCCGGATCTGCCGGGGCTCATGCTGGGGGTTTTCCCCATGGCCCCCAGCTCGGTGACTGGTGCCTCCTGGGTTGGGGGGCACCCAGGGTCTCCCCACGGCCAACTGCTGAGCCAGGGGGCATGGGGAGAACCCCCTGTGCACTTGGCAGCGGATGTGGAAGTCGACTGGAAGCACCAAGCATGCGGTGGCCCCCCATGCACTCCTGTGGGACACTTCATCCACCCCACCATCACAGCCTTCATAAGCCATGCCTGGTACCTCAAGGCATATAGAAAAACATTTAAAGCTATGTCTATGGCCCAATCGCTGATTCTCCAAATCAGCATCAAATCTTCAGATTCAGATTCAGCTGAATCGAATTGGGGACGGTGATCCAAATCAACAAATTGAATTACTGTCCCTGATTCAGGCCGTATCCAAATCTGAATAGAATACGGCCCATTTTGCACATCCCTACCAGTCAGTCTGTGGCACTTTAAAAAAAGGTTATGAAAACATTAACAGGACTGTACAGCATTCGCAGTCAGCACAACAGCTATAGATGCAGAGGCAGATTATGACTTTTTCATGTCCTGGGCAAGAAGAGGATTGGGGGCCCCTCGCAGCTTACCTCCCTCCACCCCCACCACCCCACAAGAGCTGGGCTCCAGCAGAGGGAAGTGCCTTTTCCCCTCCTGGTGCTGCTGCAGTGGAGACATTTCTTAAAAAAAAGCCTTTGACCACAGCAAAGGGGAGGGAGAAGCAATTTTAAAATAATAATCAGTCATGTTCCATAAGTTTTCTCAGCCCTTCAGTCCACCCAGTACAGACCCCAGGGGCATGTCCAGAGGAGCATGCAAGTGCACTTTATGGCACCTCAAAGGCTTTTGAGATGCTGCAAAACACACAACATGTGAAAAGGTTCTCGGTGCTGCATATTTGCAGCACAGAGCAAAAATCAGATACTGTGAAACCCTGGTATATAAAAAAAAAATGGTTTAAAAAAATGGGGTGGTGCATGTGGCTGCAGTGAGACAAGGGTGATAACTGGATAAGGAGCCAGCATCAAATGAGGGCTCCTGAGCCAGGGCCAGACAACTGTGAACTTAAGAGTATTTGGTTCCCGGCTCTCTCAAAGGGAGGTGTTGACAACCCCTGCCAGCAGTGGACCTAGTCCCCCTGGCTGGCTTTTACAAGCTAGGATGGGCGCAGGACCAGTCCACAGCTGGTCATCCTTGAAGCACATCTTCTATGCCAGTGGGTAATAGCAATTTGGAATAATCCTCATAAACAAGACAAGACTTAGCAGCACTGTTTGAGATAGGACCAATTTACCAGGTTGATCATGCAAATTGAGCCCCTAATCTTGACTTTTGCAATGTTTGAGGTCATTTATGTTCCATGATTCCAGGTCTGTAAGAGTCTCTGGGAAATGGAAGTAGTACTTTAGGCCTTGTTACACATTAATTTTAGGTCGTTCCTGAAGCTCTTAACCCCTAGTTTGTCTATGCATTAACACCTGAAACTAGCATTAAGCACACCTTAGGTGGCTTAAACATACGCCACTTCAGGGCAGGTTTATCTCTAATCCATGTTATTGAGCTCGTGTTCCATTAATGTGTGGCCACTCTCCACAAATAAACAGATGCAGTGTCCTCTTCCCTACCTTCCTGTTCTGTGTGGACAAACTTTCCAGCCCCTGAACTCTACTGCCCAAATCCCCAAAACTGGAGCGTGGCTGGCCAGGTTCTGCACTCCCAGATCACCACTACTGCAGTCTCGGGAGGCCCCAGGACCCCAGGTAAGGCTGCTGGAACCAGCCCAAGTGCTGACCCCAACCTCCCTTACCCAAATTGCCACATGCTAGGGCATGTGTGCAGGGGTGTTTCCCGGGAACAAGTAGCAGTGGCACAACTATGTGCCACTACTATTTGTCCCCAGGGAAATGCACATACACGCTTGTCTGGACATGCCCCATGAGTCCTGTCCCTAGGTTCAGCTTTCCATACTCCCCTTCTGTACTGTCTCCAGTACAACTACCAATCTGTCCCCTAATATCCTTGTATAAATTCATACCTTGGCTTGTGGGACAAGAGTTCAACTATTCATGGACCACTTCTCCTTGTGCATTTTCCAAAAAAAGTTGAATTGAATTAAAGTTTAATTCACTTCTAAACTAGAGTTTAGAAGTGAATTAAATCCAATTACCCCGATCTTTTGCTCTTTTTATTATTAATTCATCTAATGCAGAAATCCTTCTCTCTGGTCCCATTTTCATTACAAATGGAGGTAAAAAATATGAAGGTAGGTCTTATTTTAAAAGGTCCTGAAATTTAAATACATTAGTACTCTCCTTATGACCTAGGGAGATTTTACAGATTCTGGACAAAGACTTGGGTTCACAAAGGTGTAATGAAGTAGGATTATTTTATTGTCTCTTTTTTTTTAATAAAGAAAAAGAGTCAAGTGTCTCATTTTTAAAGATTAATACAAAAATGTTTTACTCAACATTATACATTGTAAATCTCTAGGGTGCTTTGGAGATGGGAGACTGGCAGGCATGAGTAAAGAACATGAATCCTTGCACTAAATCTGCATTCAGAACAAATAAAGTTGTCACGCAAGCATGAGTCCAATGAATAGGAATGCCTAGGAGCTGGCAAGACAACATTAGACTTTGCAGTGCACTCTTGGTACATGCTGGATTGTTTTGTTTTGTTTTGGGTTTTTTTGTTTTTGGGGGGGGGCGTTGCTTCGTACTGTGCGAGGTTATCTGAAGAACTGACAAATTGATTGAAATAGTGTAAAGTCTGTCCTGGCACAAACCGTTGGCAACACCACACCCTGAGAAGGAGTGTGTGATGGGACCGTGAGTCTGCCAAGGCAGTGAAGGCACAAACTCGCCCTGAGGGGAGATACCCAGTTAAATGACAGATACATTTAGCAATAATAGTAATGATAAAAAGACCAACTTTAATAATTAGGGAAAAACACTACAATAGAACTAGGGAAAAACAGAGCATAAAAATAAAGGTTCAAAACACACAACCATCTAGCACTTTACTCTCAAGCCCAGCCAGTGCTTACTTCTCAGTCTCTGGCTGAGTACAGTGACAGACAGGAATTGTCACCATCTCTGTTGCTAAACTCCCCCTTATCCTCAGAGGTTTCGTCTTCTCTGAGGCCCTCAGCAGGTGGCCTCTGTTCCACCACTCCCTCCTTTCCAGCTGCAGTCCCCACGGGGCAGGCTCCCTCTTGTCTCCACTCTCTGTGGCTTCACACCACAGGGCTTCAGTCAACTCCAGCAGGCCACAAGCTGGCAGCCACTGACACACATGCAACTGCCTGTACACTTTCCAGCAGCCCTGCTTATATCTCCTCCCGCAACTTCTCAAGAGCCAGGGTTCTCAGGAAAGGGTCCCCTCTAGCACCAGCCAGATGGCACAGGCCCTCTGCAATCAAAACATTAACCCTCTTCCAACCAGAACAAAAAACTCATCCAAAAAACACTTTCAGTGTGGACCCATCAAAACAAACAATTACAACCACATAATCCTCCCAGAGTGCAGTCTTTTACTGATGTCTCCAAAGCTTTGGCTACTTTGACTTTCTTTATCTGGGGTATTTTTGACTTAGCTGAAATCAGGAAGAATCCATGCTATGGAACAAATGCTGGTTATCTGCAGGAGCTAGGAAAATATCTCCCCCACCCCACCCCCAGCTGCACCCCCAAATCAGATTGGCAAACACTGCTGGGATATGTCTTTAACTGTCCTCTGTTGGCACCCTTGTCACTTTCCCTTGGGATGTGATCCTTTTCCTAGGACCTTCATGATCATCTAATCATAAATTACCCTTTCAAAAACATGATGCCCTCTGCT